CATTTCAGAAAAATACTCGACAGGCTTATTGAAGTGAAGATGACCTTGAACCCGGATAAATGTACCTTATTTCAAGATAAGATTGGATTTCTTAGGTTTGAAATATCTAGGGACGGCGTCTTACCGTTGAAGAGCAAGATTGATAAGGTGTTGTTGATCCCTACACCGCGTAACAAGACGGATATCAGAGCGTTTGTAAACATGGCTGGTTTTTACCGACGTCACATTCATTATTTTAGTCGCTTCACCACCAATATGACTCAGTTATTGAAAAAGGACCAATATTTTAATTGGACCGAGGTACACGACAAGGAGTTTGCGGATTTAAAGGATGCGCTAGTCAATGCAACCCAGCTTCGGTATCCTGCTCCTGGTTTGAAATATCGGGTGTATTGCGATGCGTGCGATGTAGGCATTTCCGGGGCTTTATCTCAGTTAGATGAAGATGGCCAATAGTTGCGAATTTATTTCGTATCACGAAAAGTAAATAAGGTGGAGTACAACTGGAGTATCGTGGACAAGGAGCTATTAGCGCTTACGTACTCGCTCTTCAAGTTCAGAAAGTATATCTTGGATCGTAGGTTCGAAGTGCTCACAGACAATCGTGCCGTTAAGTACTTGTTCGAGAAGAAGGAGCCCAATACCCGATTGCAACGTTGGTGTTTGGCTTTGCAAGAATTCGATTTTTCAATCAGGCACATACCTTCGAGTAGTAACAAGAGCGATTTTTTTAGTCGTTACCCGTGTAATGAAGGTGACCTTGCAGGTGAAGAAATGCTGGAGGAGATGTATAATATGTTAGTCCAAGAGTGCAATGTCGATTATGAGAAAGAACTGGGTGTCCTATCTAACTACTTGTCCAACACTTGCAACGAGATTAGCAAAGTTATGATTGCAAAGGCTCGATTCTACCTAATTCAGGGGCAGCATTTGTATCGCAAGGTTGGTGGTCAGGGAGGTCGTATCGTGAAGATACCGCATGTGGCGGAAAGAAGTGCAGTTATCAAAGAGTGCCACTATGAACACGGCCATTTCGGTCAACACAGTAAGGGGTCCCAAACATTAAACGTTTTGTAAAATAATCGGGCGCTTTTTTTAAAAATTCCGGGACCTTTTTTTGTGTGGGTGACTGTCTAAAAACCTTGTCACTTAGTCAAAGTACACTCTAGCACTTCTCTGATTTAGTTCCTCTTTTACTACTCATTTACTTATAAATCTCTCTATAAACTACCTTTACAATGCCCAAAGTATCAACCAGACAACAAACCTTGAAAGAAATGAAAACTTTGCATAAGCACAGTGTCATCATTGAAGACGATAAACAAGCCGATGAGATGCACGAATTATTGAGCGAATTAGAAACGAAACGCGTTTTGAACAGTGGAGCAGGCATCCCTAAACTTAACCAGTACCGTGAGTTTTTTCTCAAGTGGGATGACGAAGAGTTTGTCAAGATGTGTCGAATGAAGAAGGAGTCTTTCTTGAAACTTCTTCGCCTTATTGAAGACCATCCTGTCTTCAACAACAAGAGTTTTGTCGCCCAAACGGATGTTCATATCCAACTTGCGGTGACCTTAAGACGATTGAGCCACGACGGAACAGGCAACAGCATCGACCAAATTGCTACTTTGTTTGGGATTAGTAAAGGCTCTGTCACCAACTACACGCAACGCTGTTTCAAGGCAATTAATGACAACCTTCGACATTTGATGCGTTGGCCCAACAAGGAGCAAAGGGAATTGTCGGCCGCAGCAATCAAGAAGTACCACTTTTTTCGAAATTGCATTGGGTATGTTGATGGTACTCATTTCCGTCTTGCGCAGAAGCCAACGAAGCATGCCGAAACGTACTATAACCGAAAGGGTTTCTACTCTCTGAATTGTCAAGTCGTATGCGACGAAAGGATGATTAATTTTGGATTTCAAGTAGGACATGTAGGTTCAGTGGGTGACGCCACATGTGTAGAGCATGCCAGCTTTATGGTAAATAAAGATCACCTTTATTTCACATGTGGTAATGGTGCAAACCATGAGTATCTTCTGTGTGATTCCGGATATGCTCTACATCCATTCGTTCTTACCCCTTTCAGGAGACCTCAGGTACTGAAATCCAAGAAGTGCGAAGATTTCAACAAGGTACATTCTTCTGCGAGAGTTGCCGTCGAGAACACGATCAATGTACTGAAAGGTAAATGGAGGATCTTGAAGAACATTCCTATCCAGATAAATTGCAACGAGGACGTGATGAAGATCGACGAGATGGTGTCTGTTTGTGCTCTTTTGCACAATTCCTTGATTACTGAAAACAACAATTTTGCTGGCGATTTTTTTGAGGACGTAGATGTAGGTCAGTCAAGAAAGGATGTATTGTTGCTTCAATCGTTCGACAACATCAAAAGTATTTCTGGTCGTACACTGAATAGATGGAGGGATTCGGTTGTGGATGTAGTATTGGCAGATTACACTGTACATTTCGCACGAAATAAAAAATAAACAGATTATATCGATGAAAAGTGCATTATAGTTTGGAAGTTATGAGCAAATGTATTATTGTAATAAATGAGGGATTGTAGAAGGTCATTAATGATACAATCAGGTAAATATTAGTTTTAAAAAAAGGTTTTATTTAAAAGAAAAAAAAACTAACGTCTAACTACTTCAGATCCATCATCAGAGAAATCCTCGTTACCGTCAAGGGTTGGTTCACCTTCACTATCGCTTCTTACTCAATACGCCTCTTCGTTACCTCGAGTGTTCTCAAGAGGTTCCCTCAATGATTGCCGGAATGCCGCAATGTGTTGGGCAATTTCCGTGAAGGACGTCGTTCTGAACGCATTAGTCCGAAGACTCGTCACCAACAGCTCCGTCATACCCAACTCGAACTCCCTCTGGCTGTTCTCTCTCAGCACTTCATCCCTTCTCAACTGGGCTTCACGGTATTTTGAAGAGAAATCCCTCTTCATCCTCTTGTTTCTCATGGCGTGATCGGGATCTACACGAATACGATAAACTGAAGGCATTTCAGGTCGAGGTCTGGACGACCCAACATTCCCACAAGCACCACGAGAACTACGACCGCCAGAAGCAGCACGAGTACTACTAGAGTTTCCACGAACACCACGGGAACCAGCATTGACACGAACAGCGTCCACATCATCATCGTCGTCGCTGAAGGCATTCGTGCCAAGGAATTCAGCTACTTCCCTGTCTAATGACATGGAACTACGACGAGTTCTAGGAGGATCGTCAGGAACCACCGGAAGAGAAGACGTATCGTTGTCACCTGCAGGCTCGACAGACAAAGAGCGAGGAATCATGGATGTCCAGGAGACGAAGGGCCAACAGAAGGATCACGAGTACGAGCTGAAGGCTCCTCAGAAGCAGATCGAATTGGCTGAGCTGGTTCAAGCTCTTCGCCCTCACCAAAAACAGCACGGGTTTGTTCATCAATTGCCGTAATGGTGGGCTCTTTTCTACTAGAGAACGTATAGTCAGTACCGCCAGGAGCACCATGGAAAGCTACGCAAACAGGTTGGGTATTAGACCTATCACCATGCAAAGTCGACAATCGTTCAAATCCAGGGCATTCGAAATCACACTTTTGTTCGATACTGGTGATCCCTCCACGATTATCCTTTTCTGTCAAACCAAAACCAGTGCCATTCAACTTTCTCTCATTTCACGGTACTTGGTAAAAAGACGGGCAACACGTTTTATAAGCTGATCCGGCGTCCAATCGGTGGGTATAGCCTTGTCAGCCAACAGTTTTCTCATCATACCATTAATGATTTCACGCTTTTTGACTATGGTAGCAGCTCCAGGGGCAGCGCTATCACGTAAACCGATGTATGCTTTAAAAAGCTTGATGTTTTCCTCGAAGTAACCAATTATCGCTTTGGCATGAGCACGACTAGTGTTGGATCCACGTTGGCTATCATCAACAGAAGCTGTTTTGGAAGACGTTTTCTTGGATGTTTTAGCAGTAGTTTGTTTACGTTCACCAGGCATTTTAGTTGATATTATTCAGAAAATAATTTCAGAGAAAGAAGGTAAGTCAAATGTGGGATAAACGAGGTTTATATATGATAATTAGACGAGTGGTGACATTTGCATGTCATTTTTTATGACGTAAAATAAAGAAAAATAAACTATTTATTACTTTTTATGGCAATTTCGTCATAATTTATGACGTAAAATCCACTGACGATAATTATCGTCCGTCATTTTTCTCGACCGATAATTATCGTCCGTCGTTTTTCTTGACCGATAATTTTCGTCCGTCGTTTTTCTTGACCGAAATTTATCGTCCGTTCCTGAATTTTTGGCTGGGGAAAAAATTACGGGATTTTTTAAAAAAAATTTCGGAATTTTTATTTTTAATGTTTGGGACCCCCTAGTACTTGGGCGACGCTGTATAACCAATATTGGTGGCCCGGAGTTTATGAAGAGGTCAAGGCGTTTGTTCAATCGTGTCATGAATGTCAGCTGTTTGCACCTTCCCCTCTGAATCGAAGTCCCTTTCGGGGTAAAAGTAATAGTGTTCTAAATGTATTCGAGCAATTCAGTATTGATTTGGTTGGTCCTTTGCCTGTGTCCAAGTCTGGCAGTCGGTATATCCTCGTTTGCGTGGAGATGTTTACTAGATGGTCAATCGCGGTACCAACCAAAAGGGCAGAAGCCTGTACTGCTGCCACGTTCCTGTATGAGCACGTCTTTTGTATGTTCGGACCTATGACTAAAATATTAAGTGATAATGGAGCACATTTCCGCGCTGATCTGGTGAAGCAGCTTACTGAGATGGTCCAAAGCAAGCACTTGTTAAACACGCCGTATCATCCCCAGTGTAATCGAATGGTGGAAAACATTAATGGAACCCTGGTAAATGCGTTAAGAAAATTGTCGTATTTGAAAAGGGATTCTTGGGATACGCTTATTCCCACCGTTTTGTATGCTTACCGAGTACGATCCCATGAAGCCATTAAGATATCACCTTACGAATTGATGTTTGCAGTATCACCATTGCCAGCTGATGATGATCCTTTGTTGAAGTTTGCTCGTGCTCTAGGTTTTGAAAGGCTACTTGCGTTACCAAGCAAGCGTCAGCAAGTAATTGCAGCCGAAGACAGGGCTACCAACGTGCCTCAGATTATCAAGTTGTTTGAAGTAGGAGCTCTAGTTTTGAAAAGACAAATCAACAAGAGTAGTAAGCTGGATGCTGGGTGGATGGATGAGGTTTTTCGGGTAATCGCCGCCTTTAGTAACAACACTTACCAGCTAGCTAAGAGATCCAATGGAGTACAATTGAAAAATCGTATCAATGGGATACACTTGCGACCTTATTTTAATCGTGAGATTAAAGAATAGGTACGGGAAGATGTTACGGAACGCAAGCTTTATTTGTTTACTTTTTTTTTTCATATAAATACCTGAGGAATTGAGCGCGAGTTAGGATTCTTTATCTGTTTCCTTACTTATAATTGTGCTCGATTTCTGCAGGTAAAACCATCATGAATAAAATACATCTGTTTCCTTACTTATAATTGTGCTCGATTTCTGCAGCCCCGATAAGTCTAACTGTCAGAAACAGAACAAGAACAGAAAGAAGATTACTTGGTGGCACGAGAGTCAGAGTAAAAATGATAAATAAAGAAGTTTATTTCAGAGAAGGGGGAGGGGTTAGGACTAAGATCCAGAATAACGTTTTTCTAATAGATAACTAGCATCTATTTATACTATTTCTTATACATGGAAAAAGCTACGATGGGTTTAAATTATAGATTAACAAGGGACTTTACGGAACAGATATCATGAGCAGATTATTTGACAAGGATGAGTAATTGAGATTCGACGAGTAATAGCAGGTTGGATTTAGTTGACATTGAATAATTAGATGGTTCGGGGAACATCTCTGATTTGACACGGGCGGGAAAACTGGATTGGGATATGAAGTAATAGATGATCGGAAAAAGGTTTACTAAGGTTGAGTCAGACAAGAGGCGGGAAATATATTGGAATACAGATTGGTGGTAGGTTTTACAAGGAATTCAGGAAGCGGGCAAGATATACAGATATGATTTTGGGTACAAGGTTTTACAGGGAGTTTGGTAGCGGACAAGGTATACTGATATTATTTTGGGTACAAGGTTTTACAGGGAGTCTGGTAGCGGACAAGGTATACTGATATTAGATTTTAGGACAAGGTTTCACAAGGGTTTAAAATCAAGGCATGATCTAGGACATGATGAAATGAGTTCATGACACTTACATTTCAAATTAATTGATCATTGAAGAGATAGTTTTATTTCCCCGCAACAGTGATATAGAAGATGTTGATCTGTCAAACTTTGAATACAGATTTAATAAATTTAAATATCGCCACACTACTTCAATCAATGAGTCGACAGACGAAAGGCTTTTTACCAGAGTAGTTAAAGATGTCTTCCATCTCATGGATTCGATTAAAATAGGAGTCAAACACACGCTTAAACTGGAATTTGAAAAAAACTTCAGAAATTGTTTGTTTGTATTTGATGGGGATGACAAAGAAAAACTGTCCATCGTTCTGTGACGCAATGAAACAAGCTTCGAAAATCAATTGAACAAAAAACTCCACCTAGATTTGGAAACGGATCAAACGAAATATCCCACTTCCTCATATCTTATATTCCAGTTTGTATAACCTTTTTCCGTCATTTGGTTCCCTTAAATTTACGAAATCTGGTTTACCTTTGTTTGACAAGGTGGCATGGAAAAGTGCAGTAAATGCTCTCGTTGCAGTAAAGGATGGACATGTGTCAGATCCACCGGTCTGTCTTTGTACCATGTTCGTGGTAAAGATCGAGACGGTCTAACTTTGTATAAATGTATCCGTGGCACCAATTCTTTAAAAAAGGGTGTTCATCAAATAATTAAAAAATTTGGACCATTGGAGCAGGTCCCAAGTTAACTGATTGTGCTCTCACAGAATACAGACTTAGGCACAACATCGATGTAAATATCTGAATGTTTTGTCAAAATGAAGTATTAACTTATTTTTGATAGGTTGATGCGCTGAACAGATTTGGATATGAGCATAAGGACCATTATGACCCATGGATTAATCAGCACATTGAAAAACTGAGATTGTCCTTGCATATTCCCACAAGTCGACTTAACTCTTACCTGTACCAAATGCATTGGACTTTTGCAGCTCTAAGGAAGTATTAGGCATTAGCCCTATCTCGGACGATGAAATGGTGACCTTGTGTATTGAAAAGAACAATACTTTGTCTCTGATCACGAGCGTGTTGGACAGCTTAAGCTCGTCTATTGTATCAGACACGGTGCTATTAGAGCTTCCATCCACCAAACGTGTACTAAAAAATAGATTCGGATACATAGCACAAAAGCAACCAGCAAAAATCGCAATTGTTCCAGTGCATTCAAACGATGAGAAGGCGCTTTTTGAAAATATGCTCTCATGCAACTATGAATCATCGACCGAACTTGATTGGAGCCATTTTGCTTCTCATTGGAATACGTCTGCTGATGGTGTAAGCATATTTTACAAGACACCAGAACACCTAAAATCATATTACAATATTTGCAAAGACAACAAGTTTATTGCAAATTCTATCCAAAAACATCGTAACATCATTCAAAAAGTCAAATCTGTTATATCTGAAACTATGCAACCTCAAGTATTACCTCAAGCAAACCCACTTATACAACCCTCGAACAATATTGTTACATAACCGAATAGGCTTTACGTCCCAACAAAGAACCAAAACTTTTTCATAAAAATCTCACCCAATGTTCCCGTCTCACAGCAGACAGTTGCTCCTAGACAATTGATTTTAAGCAACTCCTACAATACTACTCCCAATCCATATAAGCGTAAACATATCAGGACATGTCAAATTTGTGGCGACTCTGAGACATGTCCTGGTCGTAGTAACAGAAACAGATGTAGATCCATCTCTCTTTAAAAAATAAACAAGCACATATTTAGAGAAACTTGAGACGTGTTTCTCTAGTTACAGTTTTAAAACCTTACACACGTATGGATATCTTTGATAAACGGCTCAATAAACTTCTGTTTTATCCGCATAAATTCAATTTTTTTTTTGGCTTCGCCAAAAAAAAAAATTAATTAAGTCTTGTCCCCCAGACTTGTCATGCGGGTCTTTTTTTGTCGGAGTACAAAACATTTAGATATATTGTCGGGTGTGATCTAGTGTCATACCTTTTTCGGTCTCTTAATAATAATTAGATATAAATAGTATAATTCATATTTGTAATAAAATCATCTTTTGATCTCCTAACTAAATATTTTGTATCTTGGATTTATTACTATAAGTCTTACGACACTAGTAATAAGTAAGATATATGAGAGAGTGGAGTAACACTGAGAAATTTTTTTCAGGTTCAGGTTAAAGTTAGACCGCGGAAAAGTTAGACCAGAGGTCGCGGTCTAATTTTAACCTGAACCTCAGGTTCTGGTGTACGGTAGACCAATACCTCTGGTTCTGGTCTAATATTTTACGATTTTAGACGAATACCTCTGGTTCTGGTCTAATTTTTTTATATAAACCAACCTGAACCTCTGAAACGTGACGAATAAAATCATGGTATTCTTGTTATTTTATATGATTGTATTGGTCAATTTTTTATAGAACTAGGATCATTATACCCTTGCACTATTGCAAAAAAAAAAAAAAAAAAAAAAACATTTGGAAATAATAGAATTTTTGGGGATAAATAAATAACGTTTATTGAAATAAAATTTATAGTTCAGCGAAATAGTTAGAACTTTTATGTATACATCTATAATCTATTCTAAAAAGGATAGCATGTCACTCTTTCGGTCTGTAAGACAAGGATTGAAAGCTATAACGGGAACCAAATACCATGATTGTAGTAAGGTTTGCCGCAATTTCGACAGTGTATGGAGAGCCAGATGAAGAAGTGACAGCCAATTAAAAAAAATGTATTACTTATCTTCAACAAAGCTAATAATTCGGTCGGATAGAGCTAAAAGAAACAGTTAGAATATATTTCAATGTGACATGATTCATTTATTTAAAGGTCTTACATCTGGCCGTCAACAATAAGAGATTAGGGTGCCCTAACACGATAGCATTTCAAAGGGCAGATTTTCTACATAACCAGTAATGTTTACCGTACAAAACTACGTCTATGATATGAGTTTATGATATTGCAATGTCTATAATTACTTACTGTATTTTTATTGAAATGATATAGGAAAGAAAAGGAAAGAAAAGTAAAAAATAAAAAGAAAAACTTAAATAGAAAAAAAAAATTATTAAAACTCCCTATCTCCCGCTACGACTACGATTGGGCAGTATCAACCCATCACGTTCTGATCTTCTTTTGGCTTTCTTTCGAGCTTCAGAATCAGAACATGACGAGGATGGAGAAAGTCGAGCGCGTGGCAAAGAGATAGAGAGTGCTGGAGGGGAAGATAAGGGCCGGGGAAGAGGATAGGAGGAGACAACATCATCTGCGATAAAAAATGGAGGGAACTCGGTCGATGGCTGTTGTTCTTCCGATCTATCTGACATTCGGTGATCCATGTCTTGACAGGCCTGCTCCTCCTCTTCATCCTGTTGGGTTTCGTGAGATCCAGTCTGACGAACTGATTCCATACAAAGCCGGTCCAGGTAGCTGGTCATGGATAAAGAACTTTGCAATCCATCTGGCTTGGGTCTATGTTGACAAATTGTGATTAATAACATATTACGAAACTATAGACACCAATATTACTTACAGTCTTTTTGGCATTTCCCAAGGAGTAAATCACCATGTTTTTAGAAATCCAATTATTTATTGCCAGATGAGTAGGTACGACAGGACTACTGACAGTCAGGTCAAACATTCTTCCCGACCCCGTTGGAATACCAGGCTGGCCGTCGTAACAATTCCAATTGTAGAGTATACGCTCAAGAGTATAGAGAACGGTTTGCTGCTTTTGAAGCTTTTTAAGGTCTGACCAACAGTAACCATCAACTCCGTAATTACTCGCAAAATATACACTCAAAAAGGTACCCGTAATATGGAACGTATTGTTGTACGCCAACTCAGCCTTCTTCTTGAACATTGCATCTCTTTTCTCCTGATTAAGCAAGTCGAAATCATCTTCGTTGGCAAGGCTCCTGAAGTATTTCTCCGTCTCCTCCTTCACGGCAGAAACAAGGTAAGGTTTAACGACAGGTATCGTTCTTTCACCTAGGGAGTTTCAATTACCATGGATACCATGAGCCCGATCTTGCGCATCATTGTATCGGATGGCTCTTGCAATGCACTCCCTGAACCTGCGTTCGTCGTTTTTTTGCTCTGTAATGCTAATAAATAAAATATGATGGTCAATAAAAGTATTACCGGCCTCTTTTATTATAAAAATCTTACCATGAACAATGTTCGATCCAGTGATTGTAGTCCTTTTGGTTGACATGGCTTCACGGTTGCCATTTGAGAGAGCAACAGATACGGCCATAGTTACTACTTGGGGAATCTTGCTGATGGTTTCAGTGAGAGTGTTGATCGCTGTTTTTAAGGAATCAACCATTTCTTTCAATGATTCGATTTGTTCTTGCAAGTCACGAGCTTGATAAGAGGGATTGCTAGGGTTGATTTTTTAATAATAAAAAGTTGGAATAAAATAAAGTTGTTAACATGGATAGATAAATATATTTTCTTATATAAATGAAAAACCGCCCTGATGGTTAGGCCGATTCGGCATGTCTTACAATTTTAAAAAAAGATGTTCTACTCGTCCAATGATTTCAAACAACCCTGTCCTGGATCAGCCGATCAGGAACACTCTTCCATTGTTCTATTTGAATTGCGACAGAACCAGTAAGATAGCAGACGTCTTTTGCATCCTGTTCAATTGGTTATGGCTAAACATAATGGCTGTATCTCATCCTTTTTCCAATCCTTCAACTGGGTAAGATATGATACTAAATTTTAAGCACCAAATTGATATTTCTACATAAAACAAAAAGGTATAAATAATTCGTATTAAAAAAAGGTTTGATATACTTCCTTTCGACAATCACAAAATTATATTTGAACTATAAACAATGTCTGCCCCTAATAGAATTCAGAAGCCCAAGGTCTTAGGTGTCCCCAGAAGTGGTTTAAATAAGCCTCTTTTGCGAGGTATTTTCAATGAACATCGTACTGGTCCCACTTTGCCTGATGTTACTGGTCCCACTTTTCCTGTTGTTACTGGAGCTTCTGTATCTGAAGATAATGGAGCTATTGTATCCGAAGACAATAGAGCATTTGGATTTAAAGATAACGATATAGGGATGTCGGAATATGGTGCTTTTGATATGTCGACTGTTAATCAAGAAGTAACACAAATGCTAATCGACCAGGAAGTACGTCGAGAGGAGGAAGAGCATGACCGATATGTCGAAGGTGAGATTTCAGACATAGAAGATAAACACATTGAAACCGAAGATATGCAACGAACGAATAATTATATGTTTGAGTCTACAACAGAAAATGTCGATCTGGAAGAAAGCACAGAAGGTAAATAATATATTATTTGGTCAAATATTCCATGGTGTACCTGATATGTTTGGAATTGCATATAGTTGTGCACAATAGTGGTGATGATCAAGATGGTCCCGTTATCAAGAATGTCATTATACCGGATTATCCATTTACGAAAGATGAGCTGGATAGTTTGCAATTTACTTATCTCTGTATCAACAATAATATGACGGTCCAGTCTATAAGGAATATGAAAACGTTTATCGAAATGATACTTAACCGAAACAAAACACGTAAGTCAAGATAGTACATTTTGCCAAAGTTTTTCCACTTACCTTTTTTTTATAGCTCATTCTCATAAAAAAAGTTGCTTGTTCTCAAAGAGTGTCTTGCGTTGATCAAAAAGAAAATACCTGATTCTTTCGTCCGTACCCATGAAATCTGCTCGGGTAAAGGTTGTTATCTTTTTGATCCTGTTATTGATGTTGATAAGCTTGCTTGTCCCCACTGCGGTGCTTCCAGACGGCCCGGTTCTGTAGTCAAAATGGTTGACATTGGTGATCACATAAGCGACATGCTCGCCTGCGACGAATTCCGTGAAGAAGTAGAGCAATACCGGGAAGTCATCGATTCTAAAACAGATGATGACCCCTACACAGATTTCTTCTCTGGTTCTGCATATCAAGAGCTTCCGGCGAAAGGTCTGTTTGCCGGTAAGCATGATATCGGAGTAGTTCTCTGTGTAGATGGTTTTACTTCTCGTGTCTCCAACCAACGTATGGTGATGGTCCATGTCATCGTTCCTAGTATAGATCCATCAATCAGGTAAAGTATAATCTTTTAATATAAACTCAAAAATCAGTATTAATTTCTTATTTTTACAACTAATTTAGATACACAGATGCTTATACCTTCCAAATAGCAATTCTTTTTAGTGATACCAAGACCGACTTTGATTCGTACTTATGCCCAATTATTCAAAGTCTCGATCGGTTGAGCCGACAACCCATCGTTGTCAAACGTAATGGTATCTTAGTTGCTAAATCGCATGTTTACAACCTTTGCATTGCAGATGGCATCGAGATCAACCAACGGTTGTTAAAGTTTGCTGGCCATACAAGTTGGTATGGGTGTCGATTTTGCCTTGGTAACTAAAACAACTCAATTGAATAACACTTTCAAATTCTAACCCTCCTCCTTAGTAAAAGGTGGCCACCCCGTCGAGGAAAAAAAGTCCGGGATGTATTTTTTCGAAAGAGGTGCTCCTATTCGTACAAGAGAGTCTTTGATCGAAGAAATAGTAAGTGCTAGGAAAGAGCTTCATTTCAATATAATATTAAATACCTCTTCTTATTATAGCCTGCTGGAACGGAAAGATACGGCATCAAGGAACCCACGCCTTTTGGACAGCTACGTACAGTACCTTCCTCTCTATTGACTTTTTCATGTGTGATGAGCTTCACATGTTCTCAAATGTTAGCAAGCTTTGCTTCGATCTCTTTTCCCCAAGATACAATGGTCGTTACAAGTTTGTTGATAAAGAGGCATGCTACCCCTTTGCTCTCATCATGGAAAACATCCTCAATGTCAAAAGATCGATGGATGAATCTCGCTGCACAATCTCCTCCGATTTTAATGGCTCATTGAAAGGTGTACTTTCAGAAAACGCTCGTTCCATGTACCGTTCTGTGGGCTGGATAGCTTGGTTGGTCTACGTTGTTCCGACAATAATTGCTCCTCTGTTTCTTGCTAAATAAACCAGGATTGCGGTTGTTGCGCTTGCCCGTGGAATAAAAATCAGTCTGCAATGGTCGATCTCGTCTGCTGAGGTTCAGGAAATTGAAAGGTATTTAATTTATTGATTTCGAGCAACCATGTAATATTTAAATTACCTAACTGTTATTTTCTATTTAGATCCTTCGAAACATGGTTCGAGTATCTTGACACCTGTCTTGCCAATGATACGATTTCCAGAACTGTTTTCAGGTCAAACCTCCATCGGCTCCACCATATACCTTACATGATCCGAAGAATGGGGTAAGCTACTGATTATTTAATCCTTATTCGATCATATACTAACCAACTTCTATAGTACATTGCGGTGTTATTCTGCCAGGTCCCTTGAACGATCGATTGGTACCTACAAAAAGCGTATCCGGTCTTCCCTTCATCCTGGTATTAATGCTGGTAACATTATGGAAACCCGGAAGATTTTTGGATTCTTCAACGCTTCCAATATCTTTGATTTTTCAGCTTTGACGTCGCCCCCCGACAGCAATGATAAGAACTTCGAACAGCATCCTCAAGATTCCACATTTCCTCAACTCTGGTCTCCTTTTGATGATTCTCTCCCACAGGTTGGCGTTCTCTTGCAGGGTTCTTCGGGTATTCTCATTTGTGGCTATTATAGCACTTTCCCTTGGTGTAAAGCATTGATGAGTTGTATGACAAGGCTGACTGGCGTAAGACAACGAGTTGTATCGGCATTTCATCAACAACAAAGACTTCGAATTTCGACAAGGTTATTCCATGATAATCAAGTCTACATTTCGGAGTTGTATAAGAAGAAGAATATGTCATGCTCTCGTGGTGGTGAGTTCGTCATGTTCGAAGCGGTTCATAAGAACAAGTAAGTATTTTATGTTTTACTATCGCCGTATTGCATTTATTGACACTCTTCAAATTTAGTCTATTCGTTCCAGTTAAAAATTGGTTTGTTTGTAAGATTCTCTTCTTTTTCCGTTTCCGGTTTTTCGCCAATGAACAAGGGTCCCATTACGTTTATGGTGAATTGGCAAAAACACATGGCGTCTCTGCACTTGCAAAGTTTATTCCTCGCATTCAGCTGTTTAATGGTAGGGATAAAAAGTTTGTTGTATTTGATGCAAGGGATATTATATCGGCTGTTGGATTGCTGGATTCTTCGGACAATTCCGCCTTTAAGTATGTCATAAAAACTGGTGATGCCTTTGCGAAAGACATGCTTAGTACTGCTGGAAAGATCGGAAATCTGGAATAAAGGGCTATTCAACTTCGGCAAAAAAAATTTATCGCTCCCTTGTGTCACACACAATTCTAGTATTTACTTCAAACTTTTGTTTCTGCCATCAATAATAAACTTAAATACCATTTTCTTATCCCAAAACTACTTTAAATATGTATTGTTATCATTATATAACAGTTTTTATACTTTTTATGTCTTTTACGTTTTTTTGATTTTCAGGTTCAGGTCTAATTTTTACCTGAACCAGCGGTTCTGGTCTAAATTGAAACTTTACCGCGATTAAGTTTCAGGGTGGTAGTAGATATAAGATGATCTTTATTGTTTTGTATTGTCGTAAGACTTATAGTAATTAATCCAAGATACAAAATATATAGTTAGGAGATCAAAAGATAATTTTATTACAAATATGAATTATACTATTTATGCGTGTTCTCAAGCAAAAAAAATTTGTGAACCCCTCTTTTTGTAAAAACTTCGAACCCCCCCCCCCCAAATTAGGTATAGCGTATGACATCAGGGCAGATTTTTGTCAGATTACTATCCTCCTGTAACTTTTTTTCTTTTTATTATTTTTTTCCCATAAATTTATTATTATCTTTGCCAAAATGTCTACTTTCAAAGAATTACCCAATGAGTTTACAACTGTTTACGAAGAATCAATGAAGCTCATCAACATGAATGTAGCCGCAATTCAGTGGTATATGGAACAACGTCAGTTGGAGATCAACTTGCTTCACGAAGCTTTTCTTTTTTACTTTTCTTCAGTTTTTGATGTACCTTCATTTTTTCATGCGTTACCCTTCCTATTAACTGGCACACGTTCAACTTGAGTTCGTCCAAATAACAATGGAATGTTTTCCAACTATCACTACTGGACAATCACGCACCCTTTTCTCGCTGACGATGACAATCCACGCACTAGTTTTCGAGCAATTTATCGCATGAATTTTAGCAGCTTCGAAAGACTTGTCAACGACATCAGTCAGCACCCAGCATTTGATCTGTTAGCCCACAACAGCATCCCCGCATACATCCAGATTTCATGTGCTATATGGCGCTTAGCCAACTGTCATATTGGTTACAGAAGTAGTAACATGGCTTTTGGTGTATCGCATGGTAGTTATATCAACTTTTTCCGA